GTAAAACTGAAACACAACAAGGCAATTGTTATTATGAAAAATAATTGTCATCTGAATGAACAGAGAAGTCAATTATATTCTGCTTCAATTTGGTGGGTATATTATGACCAATTTGGGGGGAATTCTGTAAACCACACTGAGTGTGTCCAGTAATTCTCTATTGCCCTGCTCATTTACTCATTGCACATGATACCTGTGCCATGTGCCACAAAGGATTGTTTATGCATATACAAACCAGACAGTAGGCTTTCTAGGTGGCAAATCCTTTTCAGTTAATTTGCTATGGATTTTTAAAATTCAAATTCTGTGTGTGTTTTCTACTTATGGACAATTGTGCAAATTGATAATAGAATTAACAGAAAAATGACTTATAAAAATGTATACATTAAAGAATAGATTTCTGTGTGTTTTTCAACTTTATGTTATATTTATGCTTTCTAGTTGTCTCAAAATGAAAGCTATACTGCTGCCTTTCAGGTGGGTTATGGATTGTCTGGAGGAGACCATATTCTTATTATAATATTTAAATAAGTCACTATAATATTTGAATTAGCCAAAAATAGAAAAATCTTAAAGGAAGAGAGAGATAGCCACATGGGGAGGAGCAGCTCACAAACATCCAATGTTTGTGAAGATCTACTTTGTTCCTGTGATTTTCTCATCAGGGTATCAGATCTGGAATGCTCTTTTCTTCCTCATCACAATCTTATATATTTTATTCTGTCTTCCTTCATGCTCAAAGAAGAACTTGTACTACCCATCTCTATCCTTCTGTTTGAGGGAATATTTACAAATGTTGAGTTCTCCTGGTTTTTGAACAATACCCCTGCGTCCTTGTCACTGGAGAGAAAGCAGAGTGAGTTCTCAGTTGTTCCTGAACAAAGTTTAGTCCTTGTATTTCCAGAATCAAAGACAGTTCATTTCCCTACATTTAATTCTTTGACTCTGATTTAATATTCTTTTACCTGGGCGTGCTGATGCTGAATTGGATCTAAGGACTACAATCAGAAATGCATTTCCTTGCATCAACCTATTGTTATTTCCTCTAAAATATATTTAGAAGTTCAGCAATCATTTAGATAATGGAAAGCAAATGGAATTGAGTGTCAAAAGATATCCTGTCTCTCTGTTGCTATCTGAATGACTTCAAGCAATTTGTTTAAATCTTCTGAGTCATTGGTAAAATGAAAGTTATGGTAGTCTACCTGAAAGAGATGGCATGGGAAAAATACAAATTAATTAATTTAAAAAAATTTTTTGTTAATACACCAAAACTGTGTTTATTCTTATGTGTATGATAAAAGTAGTTTTTTATTTTGAAATCAGCTATCCAAAAATGATAAAAATGATTGGATAAACGTAGACCTTGCAAAATTTTACCATAGTCCTGGAAATCTTAGAATATGATAAATATTGAGATTTTTCTCCCTGAAAATAAACCTATAAGTATTGAAGTATTTTAAAAATAAATTTGCATGTATAGATTTTTAAAAAATCATTTATTCTTTTACTATTATCTCTATTTGTGTCATAATCACTTCTTTTAAAATCTAACTTTAGCTTATTTCTTTTCATCCAGTTAACTCAATTGAATAAAAAATTATTTTTTAAAAGCCTTCTAAACTGATATTCTGTTATGACTCATCCAAGAAAATACCTGTTCTATTCAGAAGTCTCAACCTCTATTTTGTTCTTTGGTCAACCACATAGTTAACCACACGGCTTTAAAGATGTTTGCCGTATCAATCAACAATATGTCACTTACTTCATTCACTCTTCCATTCATGGGGGTACCCCAGGTATGTGGATGATGGCAGTGGGCTTTCTGTAAAATTTATGGTAGACCTGATGATCAGTTAGTAAATGTACAAGGAATGTGTCTCCTCAATTTTATAATATATTTATGGACTTACCTCAGCCTATGTTGTCAAAACCAAAGATCACCACAGGGCTTACTAAACAACTCTGGAGTTCTCATTCATGAGAACCTAAATGCTTTACCTGAGCTTCCTTTTGGAAACCATGAAATTAAAATCTCTGCTTTATTTCAAAGTTAGTAACCTGAGCTGTTAAATTCCTTTTCTAATGCAGAAGTGCATAAGCCTAGAAAGTTAAAGAGGAAGAATGAAGAGTTTACATGCTACTTTCTCAGGCTGATGGATTCACTGTGCTCCTGTATGCTCCTTGTTGGCCATACTTCAATGATGCATTGGTGCTTTGCCACAATTGCATTTTTACTCTGCAGTAGAAATCACCTGGGATTATTTTCATCCTGTGGGAATGCTTTATCCATTAGCCTCATCCTTTCATATCCTCAGTATTAATAATCTAGATTTTTTGATAGAAATATGACTTGTAATATTGCCATTCTGAAAGTTAAATCATTCACAATAGACTACAGAACTATTGTTTTCTTTTTGGGTCACCCAGAACTTGTTTTCAGACCTGGGATGAGACTAGTCTCTATTAAGGCACCAAAACACAATGCACGGAATTGGAAATCAGGAGACGTGGATTTGAGTCTTGTTTTTTCATTAACTCACTGAGAAATTTAATACTGTGCTTCAATTTTATCATCTGTGTGACCATGGGAAAGTCACCTGACCTCATTTATGCCTCAATTTCCTCATCTGTAAGAGGAGATAATAGAAATGACTTCCTCTTAGCATTGTTGTAAGGAGTCCATGAGATTATGACTGATAGAGGGCTTAGAGTTATACTGGGCTCATACTAAGAACCCATGTGTTATCTATAATAACAGTAGTCTGTTTTGTCATAACGCTTATATATCTTACCTCACAAGGCTATAATGAAAATCAAATGATATGTGTTGTATTAGTTCTTTATTTCTGCATAGCAAATGGACTCAAATTTAGCTGAAAACAACACTTGTTTGCTATCTGCCAGTTTCTGTAGGTCAGGAATCCAGGGATGGCTTAGCTGAATTCCCTATTGAGGAATTCAAAAGGTTGAAATCAAGGGGTCAGCTGAGTTGTATTGCTTTCAGAAGCTCAGGATCCTCTCTTTCAAGCTCATGTGGCTGTTGGAAGCATACATTTTCTGTGGTTGCAGGACTAAGATCCCCATTTTCTTGCTAGATGTCAGCTAGTGGTTGCTCTCAGCAACTAGAGGCTGCCTGCTGCTCCCTGCCATGTGGCCCTCTCCTGGGCGAGCAGAAGCATGTCTCACTGACTTCCCATCCCTTGCCACCAGTTGAAGAAAACTCCCTGCTTGCTTTACAGGGCTTTCCCAATTGGGTCAGGCCACCCAGAAAAACCTCCCTTTTGCCATGTAATATAACCAATCATGGACTGACATGTCAACATGTTCATAGGTTTTACCCTCACAAGAAGAAGTGATCGTATGAGGGCAAGGGTTACCAGGATTTATCTTAGAATTCTGCCTTCCACAAATGTGAGCATGAAGTGAAAAATAAAAACGTCATACAAATATAAAGTGAACATTATCATGAGTATTTTTATCATTGTCATCATCATGATCATTATGATATCAACAAATTCTTTTTTTGTTATTTGTTTTAGAGGCAAGTCCTCATTATGTTACTCAGGCTAGAGTGCAGTGCAGTGCAGTGGCTATTAATAGACACAAGCATAGTGCACTATAGCCTCGAACTCTTGGGCTCAAATGATCCTGCTACCTCAGCTTTCCGAATGGCTGGGACTACAGGTGCTCACCTCTGCACCTGGCACATCCACAAATTCTTAACGTCATATAACACTGTTCTACTTATTTTCAGTGATTTAAACTAGCTGTAAAGAGTATCCCAGTTCATCTGATAATTATGTACCTTGGAGCTTAGCCTTGACTTCATAATTCCTTGAATTCCTAGTCTTATTGACTAAGATATTTATTTCCTGCATTGCCTCCTTTGATCCTTGACTAACTGAACCAAAGGAAGTCTCCAAAAATAAAGTTCCATGGAAAAATCTCTTTCTGTTGGAATCACCAGTCTATAAAATGCTCAACAATTATCACCCTTACATGTGTGCACTAATTCTAAAATTCCCTGTAGCCTGATTGTACTCAATCTTAAAACAAATTAAGGTAGTATTTTCCAATGCTTTAATGATATTTAAGCCATGAACTAAAAAGATAGTCTCAGAGATGTTTACTCATAAACAGCAGGAGTAAGCTTAAGATAGCCCATTTGACAATGGCTTTATCATTTGACCAGCACTCATGAGGACCTTGTATATTGCAAAAAGCTTAATAATATACACCTAAAGACTGATTTAGGGAAAGGTTGAAAGTGATTATATCTTCCATTAAAATAGAATGAGGAAATTTAACCTAGAAATCTAAACAGGAAATTGCTCGTATTTTGATAATAGGAGTGCCTTCGTGGAAAGAATGAATTCCATATTCACATAGAGATTAGTAAACCTTCTGTAGACAGAATTAAGTAGTTTTGCGTAAAATAAGGAAAAAAGGCTTCAAATTATATATGTTTAAGATTGTTCTGCCATCGTTGGCAATATGTTCTTCAGTGAATTATTTTTTCTTCCTGTGACTCAGTTTCTGCCTCTTTAGCATAGAAATAATACTGCCTACTTTAGGAGAGTCTTTAAGATTAAATGAAATAACCTATGCCAAGCTCTTAGAACAATGTCTGGTACAGAGTGAGCACTTAGTAAGTGATGACTATTATTGCATTGCTATGATTATTTATTTTAATTATCTTAACACATGGCTCTATGTCTGCAACATATTAAGTGCTCAGAAAATATTACTTTCTTAACCCTTCTTCAATATCTGTTGTTGAGTTAAACTGTAACTGTCAAGAAGAGTATTTTGGGTATGATCAATCTGAAATAGGGTAGGTTACCATTTGCCTAAATTTATCTAACTTTATACAATTTTCTTCCTCTCTTCCTCCCTGCCTGCTTGCCTGCCTCCCTTCTTTCTTTTCTTCACTTTCCTTCCTTCCTTTTTCTTCTCCCTGTCTTTCCTTTCTTTCTCAATCTTTTATTCCCAAGCAGATATTATTTTAAATTTTCGAACAACTTATGTCAGCAAATCTGGCCAAGTTATCTTTGAAGCAAGATCAATTTGCATCCACTATGTCACAACCTGGTTCATCATCGACTTAATCGCTGCCCTGCCTTTTGACCTCCTGTATGCTTTCAACGTCACAGTGGTGAGTAAGGAGCTCCCTTCCACATGGCCCTTAAAGTTGGTTTATATTTACATGTTTAGGTTTTAAATGTTTGTGGCAATATGTGCTTCCAGGGTTTTGTGCCTTCTTTAGTAAAGACACCCAGGTGCCCAATGATGCATAGTCAAGATTCTCCAGTTGAGGAAGTTACTTCCTTTTGAAATTTCCATTACCTGTTTCCACTTATTTAAAAAACCCAGAACTAGGAAATACAAAAAGCCTGAATTTTCGTAAATATTAATTCACTAAACAAATCCTTTGATAAGAAAACCATCTATAAGAATTTAAGCATCACTTTATGTTACCTAGGCAGATAATTGCCCCAAGAATTTGGTGGAGACTTTGAACATTTTTTTCTCCTTTTATGACCTTTAACTGTCTACTTCTTGAGTATTTCATTATTCGTTGGCAAAACTAGCTGAAGACTGATCAAGGTAGAAAGAAATTCCAAAATTAAAAGAAGGGAATTCAACCATTTCTTAAAATTCTTGTAAACATATTAGATGGGGCAGAAACCTAAATCACACGACTGACATAAAACTTGATAATTCTCCTGAATTTGCATTAATACTTGTACTTTCTCCTCTTTCTTGCTCTAAATCTCTTATCCCCATGTCTCCTCACAGGAAAAAAAGTATGCCCACTTGTAGTAGAGGTATTTTTACTATTTAATGATTGGATTTTTAAAAGTATTAAGTGCTTCCTTATAGAGAAACTTTTAAGGAGGCCATTTGTATGGACCATTATGCAATTTTCCACTAGAGTAACCAATTTTAGCATGTAAAAATTTACTAAACATTAGTTCAAATTAAATAAATTTCCTAGTCAATTGACAACTCCCCATAAAAATTATATTCTTTCTCAAAAATTTAGTGGAGTAGTTTCCAATATTAAAGTAATCAAATGTTTCAAATACAGTTATTGTTGACTTCCGAATGAACATAGAACTATGATCCTGACTCATTAGTACAGATTTGTGCATTTGTTAATTGCCTACACAATAGTATTTTTCTTTTCTTTGTCTTTCTTTTTTCATTTTAAGTTGGGAGGTTGAGAGTGTCAGCATCTTTAAGAGGTTTATGATTCAACTGAAAGGAAAGCTCCTGGAAAAAATCTAGTATATATCAATCAGTGCTACATTGAATTGTTTTCCAGGTTTTCTAAAGTGCTTTTTAAGATTGAGTTTGACTAGATAAATGTAGTATAATGAAAGTATAATGACTTAAAACAAGGCCTTTTCAAGACTGCAAAAGAAATCCAAAGTAAGTAATTCACAAAAGGTTAAAAAAAATTTCCAAATTCTC